TATCCACAAGATATGATTTCATTTTGCTCTTTCCCAACCCTTTTATCGGAGTAGGCTGTACTGTAATACTTATGTCTGGAGCTATCCAGGTATTTGTGTGAATTCTTAAAATGAAAATTATTCATATTTTTAATGTAGATACTTGTTCAGAACTGTAGATTGTTGGTAGAGCTGTTAAATTACCCACATTAATCTGGTGTGCACTACAAAGTGCTTCCAGTAGACCGGATTTCTTTTCAGTGATAAGTCAAATTGTTATTAACTGCACATTATATGTTAGAATAAAATAGAGACAGGGAGTATGTTATCAAACTACTACTTACTGAATGGTATGTGTAGTACAGGCTAGCTGGATACATTGCATGCCTGTTAAAAAAAAGGTGGTTTTACAGATGTAGCGTTCATACAGAAATTGCTTTACAGTCACCTGGATGTGGTTTCATGTTTTTCATTCATAATGCAGACTGTAGACTGTCATCAGCGTTTTAACTCGTTGCCAGAAGAGAATATGCAGCGTTCTCTTCATTCTGTGCAAGGTCGTTTTGGTTGCTTGAACACTGCATGTGATGATTTAAAAAATGCAGTAATGTAGGTAGTCTTGAGATAAGTTGTTTGTTTGCGATGCCTGCGGGCCTAGAGAAGCTTGCTTTTGTTCAAAACCCGGGTGGCTTTACTTGCAAGTTTGTCCTGAAGAGAATATGCTAAATAATTATCTCATATTTACTGATGGGGTTGCTCATTCCGTGTGGTGTCCCAGACACGTGTTTGTGGTTAAATGTTTGCTGTTTTTGTTCGTGTGGGAAATCACTTGTGTTTGAATTGTCCTGAACATGTTTTATATATCACTTTGCAATGTGTTGACAGTTTTAATGTTTGATAGTGTGATTCTCTCAATGATTGTTGCTTAGAGAAAATTCTAAAATATTTCAAAACAAAGTATATATGTAGTTTAGATGCATATAGTTTGAATTAATGAATATTTCACCAAGGAAAATTAAGTCATCCCCATTTTAATTTATATAAATTACCCATATGTAACTGTCTCGTAGCACACACCCAGATAGGCTGACAATGGTCATAGTTTCTCTACAAAGGTTACAGTTTAACCACGTCTAGCGGTGGAGGTCATGAACTATTTTCTAGTGTGTATCTACATACACAATTAGGCAGCAACCATATTTAACTGTCCACTTACCGAAACTACACATATGCTTTGCTGTTATTCTTTGCGAAACGGGCTTTTTCTTAACGTCATTTAATGGGTTTGAATTGTCGAGCATTATTGTAAAGCCAGTCTAATGTAAATGGTTTTCTAGTAGGCCTAAGTTTTTAGAGATGGGATGTAGACATCAGCATGTTCTTCTTATAACTGACAACAGGCGATATTTCTGTTGTGATTAATTGTTTTTTAGTCGCAACACATTTCTTTCATAAGTTCAGTTGGTTGCCACCATGATTCATTCTTTTCTCTGTCTAGTATTTAAGGCGCACAAATCCGTTACTGTATACTTTTTGAGAAAGGATTCCTCCCCACAGTTAAAAAAAAAACACCCCCATTTATATACCAAGCTGTGTTCCATACAGCTGTTTTTTAAGTTGTTCCAGTGCTTTTTTTTAAAAGTAAATTTAGAAGCATTGTAGATTCACAGTTAATTTAAAAAACTGCACATACATGATATCTTTAGGGAAAATAGCATTTTGCATCAAAGAAGGCAACTCGATTGTGTGCTCGTGAACATTTGGGAACTTATTTGTTTGCGTAATTGTATTTCTTATGTTTTTCGTTGTATTATCAAAAAATCTTGCAGGCTTTGTTGCTTTTGTTTTATATTTTTTTAAAGTTGTAAGTCATTTATTAAAGTTAATGCATATAGGTAAACAGCTACGGTAAGTTGTATCGTTGTGACAAATTGTCACTCTAGCCAGAAGCTTCCCGGCATCTGCAGGTTCAACGTCAGGTGCAAGCAAGAGTTTGAGCCAAATTGGCCATTAATCATCATGATCTACAACACATCAAGGAAGGGACCAAAAACACCATTGTGGGGTCGCTTGCAAGGCACTGCGCCGTAGTCGCTATAAGTGCTGTATCTTTGTTTTGCGAAAGTCACATGTGAAACATGTCCATCTCTGTAGGAATTGTGAAGTTGCTTGAAACGGACGGTAAAACATTTTGACCATTTTGTTTGGGAATAAGACATTCCCATGTGTTCTATGTTAATTGACAAATAACATACCCGAAGTTACACTTAGGCCAAAATTCAAGTTTGGCAGTTATTTTCTGACAGCGTTCTGCCGATTCATTCTGAAATATTAACAATGAGAAATAGGCTAGTAATAATGTTTGTTGCCCCATTTGGCGTGTGTGAGTTGATTTTCTTTTGCTTGCTCCTGACGATGGTGTTTTTGTTCCCAGGTTTGTATCGGCTTTTGCCTAATGTGCAAATTGCCGTTTTATTATATTTACTGCATTGTGTTTGACAATAACAGTGATGTATTAATTATATAATGCCTATTGTTGATCGTTATTTTTGCTTACCAACCGTATTGATAAGTTGAATCACTAGCAGTATACAATTATAGGATTCAACCCAGTCGGACTACAGTTTAGATCGCAACTTCGGGTGCCACAGTATAACTGTTGTGCGTATGAACGGGGTGTCTGGAATTTGTACCTGAGGGATTCAGGCCGGAATGGTGACTGTGTAGTAATTGGTGTTGATTGCTCAATGCACAGTTACTGGTTTTTTTTTCTGTTTAACTCACACATTCAACTAAAATGGTAACAGGAAGCAGGGGCCGACCGACACGAAGATGGGCACCGGATTTAAGTGACTCCTTGAGTATGAAAGTACATGAGGCGGGAGAGCTGGCGAGAGACCGAGTTTCTTTCAGGCAGACTATAATGAGAGAAACGTTCTGCAAAGGATCTGCTACATGATGATTCAACTAAAAGTTTTATGTATTTACAGAAAATTCTCTTTCTCTCTCTCTCTTGCTCTGTGTATGTGTCTAACAGTCACTCACGATCACCTCACTCATTTTCTAGATAACAACAACATGCTCAGTTCTGTGTGTGTTTTTACATTCATTGTTTATGTGTTAGACATTACATGGACTGTCGTAGTATTTCTATACGTATAGTTTCAGCATAACAACCTTGCAGTGAGCCCTTCATGACCGAGAACTGTTATCCTAGTGTTGGTAGGCCAGAATCTAGCATGGTCGATTTTCAGGACAAAAATGAAAATCAGCGTAACGGCTCCACCGCAGACCCCTAAACGCCTGTATGTGTCTGTTCATCGGCGAATACTTAGTGACTGACTGACTTTCTACCCCACCATGACATCACACAAGCGATAAACAGCCATATGACACTAAGTGCCACCCTGCGGATGAGGTTCGCCGTGGAGAGGTCACAGAAACCGCGTTCAGACAATTGTCCATATTTATAGCCTGCCTGTATTGCGGCCCCTGGCAAAAACCAGGGTGGGGCTTCAAATAACGAAAAATTTCGTCCTAAAAAGGACAAAACTGGGTGAATACTTAGTAAGATATTGGGGAATATAAATCATCATCATGCGGCAGAGCACATCGCTCTCGCCACGGTCTGCCAGAAAAAAATTTGTCTCTCTCTTCCCCCCCCCCCCCCCCCCCCTCTCGCTTCGTGCACATTACATTAAGTAGTCACTTGTATTTTGTGACAATCTTCATGATGGTCGAGAATACCATTGTTTTTTAATTTGTATTGCCAGTCTTACCACCCTCTCAAATGTGGGACGCCATCTAAGGTTTGATTCTAGAAAAGAACACAATACAATGTATACAGGCGTTGAACCAAAATTTCGCTTGTGAAATTGTAGATATTAGGGAGATGCGGGAAGCTGGTTTTGTTCGGTAGATGTGCACTGACATGCGTTATATTTACAGCAAGTCGACAGTACACTGCACTGTTTAACTGAAAGTTCTTAGGTATAAATAGTCGATTACTGTGATTCAGGTAGTTTCATTATTTAAAATACCTTGGCGCAATAACAGTGGAGACCACCGTGTTCATCCATGCGCTACAAACCTACCACTGACCTTCGAGACTATATATATATATATATATATATATATATATATATATATATATATATATATATATATATATATATATATATATGCTGTTTGCACCTTTTAGTAAAGTAAAAACGGAAAGGACCATTTGCATGCCAGTGGCGTTTCGAGCAAGTTAGGCTTTTTTTTTTTTTTTTTAAATAGAAAGTTGATGCGGTGACAACAGGCCTTTTCTTCCCAGAACTTCACCCGGTGCCCATTTAAAGCTGGGAGCCATGGTCATGCTTGTTTAAAAAAAAAAACTTACTCCTAGTGGATTTAAACCCACGACCTTCGGATCCATAGGCGAACGGTTAGCCTCTCTACCACCACGGCTACGCGTTAGCCCTTTTTACTGCTGAAATGCTATTTGAGTATGCGAATTCTGCCTTTACATGTTTAGTTGTAGCAAAGTCTGCTAAAGTTGCCGCCGTATTTAGTCAGCCAGCGAGTTAGCAGCAATATGTAATGATACAAATATTTTTAGCAAGAGTTGGGTACAGATGTTTCGGTTCTCTTCAGATTTGATTTGTTTTAGCAAAAGATAATTCCTGCTAGAAAGTACAGAAATGAAGATATTAGATCACTCATCAAGCTGTATGTTCTCTTTCTTCCCCTCCCATTAACAGGTGTCAGTGTTAAGCTACCTACAGAGTCTGGCTCCATAAAATGTATGTCATTTTGATTTTGAACTAGCTTGTTTCACATCATTGGTGTGAGTACTGGATTTGTGCTTTGTTCATCGGAAGAATGATCTCCCACAACTTGCTGATATCAAGCATCAATCAAGTAACAGAAAGAGTATTGATCGGCACTCATAGAAAAAAGTAGATAGATAGAAGAATACACTAGACAACATAAAAATTGAAAGCTTTAGTTACCCTGCCGGGAATTGAACCTGTCAC